TTGAAGCGGGGACGTCCTCGTTGATCAACATCCAGTCGCTCCGCCGTCAGCTGCCCTTCATTAAATAATTTGTAGCTGACAGCGGCGATTTGGTGGCATTTAAGCGGCGATTTCTCACAAATGCCGACTTGGCGGGATGGTCGGAGTCGTACACGCTGAAGGCACTGCCCGCCGCCCTCGACGATGATGCTTTGGCGACATTCCTCGCCATTCCGCTGTTCAAGAGGTCCACCCTCATGCAGGCGTTGAACACCCGTCAGAAGTTTGCCGTGAGGCGGAAAAGGGGATGGTGAGTAGGCTCTCGCCTACAGAAGTGTTCCCTTGGCGCTGGCGAATGCCGCCTTCCCGAAAATGTTCCACGATGGCCTTGACGCCTTAGTCCTCGAGAAGATGTTGGGACTCGCCAAGGATCTCCATACTCTGCTTCCCGCCGAGGACGGGGAGGTGTTTTCGCTCAAGATCGCCAAGTGCATACAGGTGCAGCAGACCTTGCAACATGACAGGGTGTTGGTGGCGTGCTCCGCGTCTTCCATGTGCTCGCTGCATCAGCGGAGCGGCGATCGTCGGGGTGATGGAGATCGGTGACGGGACGACCAGTGGCGGCCGAGGTCTGCTTTGTCCCAGTCCAGCAGTGGACGGGTCACCTGCTACAACTGCGGCCTGCTGGGGCACGTCCTGTCGGGCTGCCGGGTTGCTCGACGGCGGCCCCTGGGACGTACACCTTCCTACGACTCCCTGCTTCCTAAGGCGAGTCGCGGCACACCTCACACTTGGCCCCGGTGTTCACTTCACCCATCGGGGGGGTCCGATTTGCGTCAGGGTCGCGCGTGGTTTCGGGGGGAGTTGGTGTATGTTCGCGAGGCGTGGCCGCTCCGACCAGATCAGTGGTCGGAGCTGGCTCATCGCGTGATCGCAGCGACCGCGGGGTCGTCGGCCGTGCTTGGGTTCGTTGAGGGGGTTGAAGTTCGCATGCTTGTTGACACCGGCGCATCTTCAACCATTATTTTCGAACTCATTTACAACATTTTGCCCCTCCGGTGTTGGGTTTTGGAGCCGGTGGATGTTCTGTGTTTCACCGCCATCGGCGGATCATTGGGGATAATCGGTCGGATTTCTGTTGAGTTGCGCATTGCCGATGTCTCATTGTCGGGCCATGTTTTGGTTTCTACGGCCCTGGCTGTCCCGTGCTTGCTGGGGACTGATTATCTCGGCAAAATTCCCCTGTAGATTTGTCTCGACCAAGGCTATTTGGAATTGCCGTCGGGACGGCGTATGGCATTTCTTCCATCTCTGACTTGCATGTATTCTGCTAACGCCGCGGTGCAAGCACTTGCGTGCCGAACGGTCTGGATTCCGCCCGGTGCGCAAATGTTGGTGCCCCTTCGATTAACGTAAACCGCTCGATGCGTGCACTGTGGGGGACGGTATTGTGTTGGGTCCCTCGAATAAGCTTAGTTGGGGGATGTCACTCGTAGCAGCTCAGACGCTGGTCTCCCGGAACCAGGCACCGTTTATTCAAGTCCTTAATGCCGGGTCGGACACTACGGTCATTCAGGAGGGTTTCGTGATCGCTCATGCGTCTCCGGCATGTCCGGAGGCAGATGTCGTGGGGAATATCGGCGTCGGTGTTCGGTCTCATGGACCTCGGAATGTGGATGAGGCATGGATGCTTGGAATGCAGCGATTTATCCACGGGGCAAACGGTGAAGGTGAGAGCGCTCCTGCGGGAGTTTTCGGACATTATTAGTGAAAGTAAATTTTATATAGGTCGCACGTCCCTGTTAAGCCACCATATTGGCACGGGAAATGCCACCCCCATTCAGCAGAATCCTTACTGCCTGAGTCCAGCTGAAAAGGAACACGTTCGTGCGGCATGTGGATTAAATGTTGGCTGCGGATATCATCTCGCCGTGCACCAGTCAATGGGGTGCTCCGATCGTCGTTGTTAAGAAGCACTGATGGCAGTCTGCGTTTTTGTGTCGATTTCCGAAAGCTTAACAAAGTTTCTGTCGTGAATTTGTTGGATGCTCTGGTGGGCGCGTGGTTCTTTTCCACCCTTGACTTTTTGTTGGGTTTTTGGCAGTTGCTGCTTTACGAGGCCTCAAGGCCCAAGACAGTTTTTCAAACACCGCAAGGGTTGTTCGAGTTTAACCGGCTCCCGATGGGGGTCCATTCTGCGCCGGCCACTTTTCAGAGGTTGATGGAATTGGTTTTGGTTGGCCTCCAGTGGGATTCGTGCCTAATCTCCTTAGATGATGTCATTGTTTTCAGCCGCACGTTCGATGAGCATTTGGATTGCCTGTGGGCTGTTTTCGTTAAGATGCATGCGGCCGACCTGAAATTCAAGCTCCAAAAATGTCATCTGCTCCAAAAATCTGTTCGATACTTGGGCCACATAGTAAGCGAATCGGGTATTGCGACGGACCCCGAGAAAACTGCTTGCATTCGGACATGGCCGACCCCCACCTCTGCCAGCGAGGTGTGCAGTTTTATCGGCTTTGCCTCTTATTGCCGATTTGTCGCGGGGTTCGCGTCTGTAGCTAAACCTCTCCACGCCCTGACAGCAAAGGGCCAAAATTTTAATTGGGGGGAGGAGGAGGAGGCTGCGTTCTGCTCTATTCGTGACGGGCTGGTTAATGCCCCTCCCCTGCGTTATCCCGACTTTTCGTTGCCGTTCATTTTGAACACGGACGCCAGTAATACCGGCATTGGTGCGGTGTTATCTCAAGTAATAAATGGCGTGGAGCACATGGTTGCGTATGGCAGCAGGGTGCTGTTTCCGGCTGAGCAGCGGTACTGCGTAACGTGCCAGAAACTGTTGGCCATTGTGGTTTTTGTGTAACAATATCGGCCATACTTGTACGGGCGACACTTCGAGGTGCGGTCCGATCACGCGGTGTTCCAGTATGTGCTGTGTGTGGACCAGTCCTCCAGTCAATTGTCACGCTGGCTCGAAATCCTGCAGGATTTTTCATTCAATGTCACATATCGTAAGGGTTCTCGGTATATGAACACTGATGCCCTATCGCGATTGCCAGCGCCCGGAGAGTGCGCTTGTTTTTTTCGTTCAAAGACTCATTCGGTGCGATTATTGTGTTGTTTGTTCGTTTTTTTTCTTTTTTCGTATATATATTGTACAGTTGGGTTGGGTAATTTATTGCGTTGTTTTGTTTGTTGGAGCAAACTTGTTGTTATGTTCTGTATATTTGTACGTCGGTTGCTTCCTTGGGGGAGAGTTGGCAGCCAGACGGCTGGAAGCTACGGAGGGGGGGGGGGGTAATGTAGTGACTGTGATTGCCACTGTGTGGTGCCGGGCTTACGAAGCCATGGTGGATAATGTGTTAACAGTATGTGTAGCCTGCTTACGGGGTGTAGTACCAGCCCTAGCGGGGCTTGGGTGAGCGCTGGTCAGCGTGGAGGCACCGTGAGCAGTGTGCGGTGCGGGCTCCCAGTGAGGGAGCGAGAGGGAGAGTCAGCCAGCCAGGGTTACGTTGGGGCATGATACCCTGGTTGACCAGCTGACACATGACCGGATATTGGAGGGGCGCCACTGGTGGACAGGGGTTGCTGGGCGGTCACGTGGTCTAAAAGAGCTCTCGGGAGCCTTCGAGAAAGAGCTCAAGAGATCTGGAAGGTGGGCGGGGCGAAGGGCGGAGCCAGCCTTAGCCCAGGGGGATATAACGGGGGCCCCGTGAGTAGCTCGGGGTTCTTCGTGTGCTGGTGTGAAGAAGATCCACGTCGCGGAGACGAAGCCTCTAGCCACGTGGTCCGGGCCCCAGCTTGTGGTCCGGGCCGGGATAGCGAACCATGTCTACTTCTGCCGTAGCGTGGTTAGATGGGCATTCGATACCCGAGTGTAGATTGTGTGATGTTAGGTTGAAGTTGCTTAATTAATAGTGTTGCTCCCAAGACAACGTCTGCGACTCAGTTGGACTCACTACACAAATACAAGGAAGGTAAACAAATCAACCAAACACATCTGCATTAAAAAGTAGTTTTGTGCTTATGTTTACATTCGGGGATTGCCAGAAGGTGCCAAAAGGCGAACACATCAAAGACAATGCACTATCAGGACATTGAGAGCTCGGGGTGAGCAGCTACAATGTTTTGAGCTCTCAATGTCCTGATAGTTCATTGTCTTTGTGTTGTTCGCCTTTTGGTGAACAACACAAAGACAATGAACTAGATGACGCCAAAAGGCGCACAACTCAAAGACAATGCACCATCAGAGTATGAGAGCTCGGGGTAAGCATTTACACTATTGGAACCTCATTTGCCAGTAAAAAATATGATAATTGGTTTTTTACCCTTCTATCTGGAAACAAAACTGACACCTTTTTTACAAGGAGTCATGTTTGCATAGACCATAATACCTGCAGTCATAATGCAAACAAAAAACATAACTCTGATAATGTATGCACTGTCCTTGAAGTTGATTGGTCCACACCTGAGACAGCTTTCCTTAGGAGGAGAACGAGACAGAGGGCATCTGTTTTTTTTCGCAAGAGACGTGCAAAGAGGGGAGAGAATTTCACATTTAAGCATGGACAGAGATCATGCAATTCAGGGGCAGGCTCCGGGGCATGGCCTCGAGATCAACCATGGGTGTCATGTCTCGTAGAGAGAAGGGACAATGTGTTGTTAAGAGCTGAGTTCGGCATGAACCGACAGAGTATCGCTGAAAGTTTTATTCTATATTTATCCTGATGTTTTGAGTTGCTTGCAGAATCGGGGATTGTGATAAGTTGTACAGTACTAAGCTATCAGAGTTGTCTAAGAGGTGTGCTAATACAATTTACAAGTTTTGAGAGTGAGTGATCCAGCCAGCGACGAGCAGCTCGCAGCAAAAGCCCTCTTGGAAGAAGGCGAAGAGCACGAAATTTGAGCAACGACAAGGCGAAGCCCTGAAGTAAGGGCAGAGAGCAGTGGAAAGAGCCTGAGCCAGCGCAGCCCTGAAGTGAGGGCGGGAGAGACACCAGCGGGTGCCCGTGTGAAGCTGGCAGCTGCACGCCAAGGGCAAAAGCAAGGAGAGAGAAAGGAGAGAGAACAGAGCAGTGGAAAGAGCCTGAACCAGCGCAGCCCTGAAGTAAGGGCGGGAGAGGCACCAGCGGTGCCCGTGTGAAGCTGGCAGCAGCACGATAAAGGAGAGAGCACGGAGGAAGCAAGGGGAGAGAACGGAGCAGTGGAAAGAGCCCGAGCCAGCGCAGCCCTGAAGTAAGGGCGGGTGTCAATGTGAAGCTGGCAGCTGCACGATCAAGGAGAGAGCACGGAGCAGGGGAAAGAGCCTGACCAGCCGCCCGTGAGCAGGAGTGTCAGCGCCAGCGAGAGCGCCGTGGGTTCGACCCACACACACACCGACAAGCACCAGCTGGGAACCAAGACAAGAGTGAGGAACGGTGACCAGCGGTGAGCTGCGCGTGCTATCTGACGACGGAATCATCGCGCACCATCGACGGCGAGCATCGCGCCAACTCAACCAGCAGTGGAGAGCTGCAACGCCAAGAGGAATGGCGCAGGCAAGAGCGCCGTGTGTTTAATACACACACACGCCGGTCCCACCGGCCCTGCTGGGAACCCGAGGTATTTTCAGCACAAGGAACGCCATACCGCGTAAGCCGCCAAGTCAACAAGTGGTAAAGAAGACACACGCACACAACACGCATATCGGGACTAATAAAATTGTTCCAAAAAGTTATCTTTGTGTTTCAAGAAGGGTTGCCGTTCCAAGGTGGTGCGTTAAATATCAACTGATCGTGAAAAGCATTGCTGCCCGTTGAGTTACACTGAATACGATTGTTAGAAGTATTTTAGTCATTCGTTTTCGTTAATTGCATAATCTTGCCAATTAATTAATTGATAACTACTCTTTCTTTAGGAACAGGTCCCTTCATTACTGTTTGTATAAATATTGTTACATTCATTTTAAGGACTTTTTCCTATCGCCGCGTATGCTCGCGTTACTCTGAGGAATTTATTGATTGTTCTGTTACCCAGTTTAACAAACGTAATCATTGAGGGTTAAATGTACGGATCAATGAGGATAACATCTCCAGGAGTACTGTGTTGACAATTCCAAGCATAAGAGTTCGCATATTAGAATGCTATGTTTTTTTTTATTAGAAATTTAAATTGCTTAACCCAGAAGTGTCTGAGTGGTGCCTTCCTAAGTCCATGCATAATAATCTTAATTATAAGAACCTGACATAAACACACTAAGACATAATCAGTAAATGTTAAAGCAAGAATAATTGTATTATCCCGATTGATAATACGACCCTAGACAACGAAGCCGAGCTTAATTTAGCATAATTACATTACACTTGCATAACTCCATACAATTCATTGTATTATCCCGATTGATAATGCAACCCTAGGCAATTAAGCCGAACCTAATTATCGTAACTACATACATTAAAATAATCACATACATTCGCATAACTTATTGCAATTGCACATCCATATTTGGCATAAATTACGTGCATAATTACATAAATTTACGTAATTTCGAATCATTATGCATTTTTCCATTTTTATTTAATTTGTATTATTTTTTATACATTTTTCAAGACCCGACATATACAACAAGATGCATGTTAATGTTATAAAATACTGTACCTTACAGTCGAAAAAACTTTCTCGTTTAACCAGCTTGATATTATTGTCACTTAAGATCAATATTGTGGTGTTTGCTGGGATGTTCTTTGGCACGTTATATAAATTTCTATTGTTGCAGGAGAGTTTAATGTCCGCATCGGATGTGTTCGTTTTCTGGGACACTTTGACCTCACAAGGCAGAGTGCTGGGCCACCAGCGACGAATCTCTGGGTGCTTTCCAGCAGTGGGCACACCATTCAGAAGACACAAGAAGAAAATTAACTTCATGTCTCTCCACTTCAGGTCAGTCTTCATTCTGTTCAAAGGGAATTTGCGAGAGATATTACGGGTACGTCCCCCAGCTGAAAACGTGTTTTGTATTATTAGAGCTTAGGCTTGTCAGACAATGTACATGCCAATGGCTCAGTGATATGATAATGTGTCAGTGGTGAATATGGTTACTTTGCAGCTGTGCCTATCCCTTGCTCCCGGCCTGTCATTCGGTTGACCTGCCCTTACAGTATTCACTGTGCAACAGCGGTGTCTGACAGATATAACGTATGGATGGAATGGTTATTGTGACTTGGGTAACATTGGCTGTGTTGCGAACTGTCGCACGAAGGCACACTCACGATGCCCGGGTCAATTTCTCAAACATATGGATAAGATGAGACGTGTCCACACTCCTTGCACAACCACCTCTGTAACTACGTCTACAGTAGGAGGCAACTGTTGACAAGAAAAAAAGTGTTACATGCTCACCCTGACTGGAAATGTATGTTCGGGTAACTTTAATATTTTATTAACTTCGATAATCTACCAACCCAACTCACTGCTCGTCCGTCTCTGCTTCACGCACTTTGCTCACCCTCCCGCCACTCACCACTTAGCCCCACCTATCTTCTAGAAGTTTCTCAATCCAACTGAACCTACCCTTCCCCCCATGCTCTTACGTGACTCCTTTGACCTCACTTTTAACACCTTGTTTACTGCCCTATCTCCAATTCCACCTGTACTTTACTTAAACCAATCTTCCCACCCTCTCTTCCACCTTGCTATTGCTTTTCCCACGCTCCGTTCCATACGCTCCCCCTCAACATAATAACATCCACATCGTCTCTCCCCCCCTCCCATAAACACACAGCCCTCACATGTCTTCCCAGTGATAACCAACAGCTGCTCATAAAAAAACATGTAAAAGGACTAGGCACACGAGAAGCAATCTTCTGTCTACAGATACTACTACAGCGATGCTACGAACATCAGAAAGAAGTGTACATCTGCTTCATAGATTACGAGAAAGCCTTTGATTCAGTCGACCACGACCGACTAGCAGCTCTATTAAAACAACTGGGACTAGATAAAAACGACATCAACTTCATCATTGCTCTTTATTGGAAGCAAACAGCCCAACTCCGATATGACAACGAATTGACAGACCCAACACCAATACAAAAAGGTGTACGACAGGGCTGCCCACTTTCACCCAGTCTTTTCAACATCTATTCGGAGCAGATTTTTGATCGAACATTAGCAGATAAAAACATTGGTATTAAAGTCAATGGACAATAAATCAACAACATCAGGTATGCCGACGACACTGCACTGCTGGCCGATTCAGAACAAGACCTACAACAAATCTTGGACGAGGTTGCCACAGAGAGTCAAATATGGGGCTTACGAATTAATAAAAAGAAAACAAAGGTTATGAAGGTCAGCCGAACTACAAGCGAAATAACAATCAAGCTGGGCAGCGAAAAATTGGAACAAGTACACCGATTTAAATACCTTCGTGTAATCATTGACGATCAGTTGAACCATGAAGTCGAAATCAAAAGCAGAATTGAACAAGCAAGGCAAGCATTTATTAAATGGAAAACACTCCTTGCAGACCGCAACTTGAGTACATCACTGAAACTGCGCACACTGAAATGCTACATCTGGTCAATTTTGCTGTACGGAGTAGAGACGTGGACACTGACAACAACAGCAACAAAAAGGCTCGAAGTTTTCGAGATGTGGCTGTATCGAAGAATGCTGAAAATCCCATGGACAGCCAAAACCACCAATACACAAGTTCTGCAAGATATGGGCACTGACAGGCAACTGCTGAAGACCATCATTAGCAGGAAGTGTTACTACCTAGGCCACATTGCCCGAAACGACCACAAATACCAGCTATTAAAGCAAATCCTGGAAGGAAAAATCGAAGGGAAAAAACGACCAGGACGGCCAAAAACGACATGGCTTAGTAACATCAAAACATGGCTACAATTAACAACAGCACAAACTCTACACGCCGTGCTAGACCGGGACCAATATCATCGTGAAGTCGCACACGCCGTTAGGCAGCACTAAAGAAGAAGAAGAACCCCCTGATTTTTATCCCCAGAAAATTTGACTGACTGTCGTGGCACATGCCGACAATCCATAGACTGAAAAATAAGAATTGTTTTTTACACTTTCTGGCAAAAAAAACAGGTGTTAAGATGTTAAAACACCAGATAACCTTTTGCAAGGCAATGCATATATTATCACAGCATGTTGTTTGCATGTTTTGAGAGCTCGGGGTGAGCAGCTACAATGTCCTGAGCTCTCAATGTCCTGATAGTGCATTGTCTTTGTGCTGTTCGCCTTTTGGCGTCCTCTGGTCTAACACTGTTTGAGACTAGGCTCTAAAGAAAGTTGTCTCTAGTGTGGACCAATCAGTTTCAAAGACAATACATATACTACCAGAGCATGTATTTTGTTTGCATGTTCACCACAAGTATATGTGGTTAATGCAGACATGATTCCTTGCAAAAAGTTTTTGTTTGGCGTTTTTAACATCTTAACACCTGTTTTATTGCCAGAAAGAGTAAAACCTATTCTTATATTATGACTGGCAAGGGAGATCCCATGATGACACAACACTTTCATTGACTGTATTCACATTCTTTTTAATGGACCTCACAGTCAATTCGTTTATACCAAAATGTCGCTTACCACAGACGCACTGACAAATATCTAGTTTCACACTTTTTTCACTTAAACTCATCACTTCTGCTTTTTTTTCAGCAGACACACTTTCCACTCATTGGGCGCTTGAGAACCATGATTAGGGCAGTTAACAAGCAAGTACGTAAACATAAAAAAATGCACAATAGCGAGTTCAGAGCAGGATCACTGCGGGACTAAGTGGACAGCTGAGAGGGTTTTCTTAATCTTATCAGACAGTTTCAAATGTAACAACATTCTGCGCGCACCTCCCAGGTGTCGGTGGTCCGGCACTACGTAAACTCGCAAACACTGGAGTCCGCGAGTCTACATAAGTCGCGAATATGGAATTAGTATACATTTAGTAAATCGCGAATATGCAAAAATCGCCAATCCAGAACTCGCACATAGCGATGATTTCTGTATATTACACCCATTGGGGAAAACCACTAAATTGGTGCCATATAATGAGGCCAGTAGCTGGCAGCATAAAATAGTGTTTCTAACCTATCGGCTTATAAGTGCACAGTATGTGTGTTTTATGTGTGTATTATGGTTTCCACCCACATGCAACATTTTCCAAATAGGAATTAGTCAAATAGTTTACCCATTTATTCCTTGAAATGGAGACTTCAGGTCTCAGTGGCCCCTAGGTTTCAGTAAATAATCCATTTACATGTAGGGTTGACACCTTATCCACAGACCACATATTTCTTATCTCAGGTCTATCAAAACGTTTCTAGTAAGTTCAACACAATATCTTCGGTTCATGGTAGAAATATATTGATTTCACGCAAACACAGATGGCAATGCTTAATTAGATGCAAATTCAGACTTATGACTAAGAGCATTGAGATTCGGTAAGGATTTATTGGGCACCTCCGAGTAGCATGGTTGGCTACGTCTGGTGCGAAAGCAGTTAATCATACATACACAACGTTGTTTTATTGCTGCCTTGATGTATAAGCAAGAAAGTATTTTTTGACAATTCATGTATTAATATCAATGAAAGGGATGTACTGACTATCTTTAACATGGCATTCGACAATCCATTGTATAACGGAGTGGTTGGAAATTTGAGGCCTAGAAAATGCAATAGTAACATGTCATGCTGTTTTCAGGTGAAATAGAAAATGCGTTTACATACCTTGATCAGAAATATAGATTCTTCCACAGCACAACTGATGCAATGAGCAGGAAGTGTGTGCAGGGTAACTGATATATATACCATTCTCGAAAATGAGGAAGTGCAGTAGTTTTGCTGAACGTTATTTTATTGTATTTAACAATTATTAAACGGTGCTTTTGCACATGCACGGCACTGTTTCATTGCACTGCTGGATGAGGATCGTGTTTTTTTTACTGTACTTCACCATGATGGTTAGTGCAGGTTGTTGAAGGTGAGGGCATAGACAAGGGAGCATAGACGTACAGTACACATGATTTTGCTGTAATGCGCTGTTGTCCACCACATAGCACAGCTATGCTATTAACTTTACAACATGAGTAATTGCTGTCGTTCCTGTTTTCTGTGGTGGCGTGTTTTGTTTAGCTGCGGGAATCTATACTGTACCTTCATATACAGTACAGTCATTCAATGATTTGGAACGTGCTTTAGACAGTAGTTGGAACGTGCTTTAGGCAGTAGTTGGCACGTTCCAACTACTTTACCATCTGATTATAATGTATTCCAAGCGTGATGGTGCCGATACACGCAATGGCAGTTAATCAGAGAAAGCTTCGCTAATCTTGTTGCATAATTTCGCCAATTAATCTATGGACGTATGCTTTCGCCTTTGCATATGTAGTGACATAAGAGGGGAGGGGCTGCTGGGGGCTCTGGGACCCTAGGCAACCCAGACGCTTAAGCCCCTTGGCGCCAGGCGCTAGGTTCCCAGGCAACCCAGACGCTTAAGCCCCTTGGCGCCACCAACGGGTGGGGGCTGTTTGTGCTCTGTGGGACATCTGGGGGCGCACACAACCCCACCCCTCGTTGGGGACGAGGCATAAAAGGGCAGCTCCCTGGACGATCGAGAGCAGTTGTAGCTCAAGACCCAAGACCCAAGACCAGCCATCTCAGGACCCTGGGATGCTGTGAGAGCCAGTGGTAGGACTCTGGAACTCCCAGCTCTACGTCCTTGTGAGGGCGAGTTCCAGAGCGTAGCCAGAGTAGTGGATCTTGGCTGTGTACTTACGCTGTAACAGAGTATCAGGACTGTTGGAGTGTTGGATTGTAATAAAGAAGTTACCTCTACAAGTGTCTCCGGAACCCATTACACATATTAGAGTGTCATATGTTTGTTTAGAATTAAAATTGCTTAAAACAGAAGTATGTTGAGTGTATCTTTCCAAGCCCATGCAAAACTGTCTTATTTATAAGAACTGTATCCTGCGTTGAGATATGAATTTGGAGACCTAACATAATATAAACACACTAAGATAATCAATAAATGTTTAATCAAAGATAATCGTTTTATCCTGATTGATACAACTCTGGATAACGAAGCTAAGCCTAAATATCATAACTGCACACATTCACATAATTGCAAGCATTCGCATACATTAATACGATTATCCCCGTGCATATGATGATATACATTAGCATAATTAATGTGTATTATGGATTTTTTTTTATTTTAATAATTTTTATTATTTTAATCAAAATGTAATAATCCGGCATATACAACACAGAGAAGGCTAATACAGTATAACTCGAAAACTGGAGTGTGTAAGCATCTTTACATTTAATGTATTATTAATACATATTATAGAAATAAAATGTTCATATGAGTGCATTGCCGTGTAGTGTTCACCATCTGGGAAGCAGAGATCATTTAGGTGCGCATTTTAAATGATATACGACATAATCAGATCTCGTTGGATTAGAGGTAGTGCTTCAGTGTTCTTGTTTGCGCGAAGATGCAGTCCATAATTTTTGAAGAGGGAAAAAGCACGAATTTGCACGCCTTTGTTGCAACTGCACTCGATGCATAATTTCACGACTCAATCCTGACTAAACTGATGCGCATATATGTGGCAGCAACTGTAACGCGTTATACTCCACACAGTTACAAGTTTCTCATGTTCAGAAATATGATCCAGAATGTTATATATTTTAAACATTATTGTATATTTTAAACATAATTATCTGTAAACGAAGTGAAAACCCATAGCAACAGAAAACCGGTCGACATGTCTCACTGCTTGCTTCCTGTCAATTGGTCACATGTTCTCAGTTTTTCTACGGTGACAGACAAGATGACCACAATGCAATTCTTCAGAACCTTGAGGTTTTGCATTTTGTATAAGGCTGGGTTTTTTTTTTTACACAAAATTTACATTTTGTGTGTTTTTGCAACATGTTGTTGCAACATAGTAATTAAACAGTACATGTCAATTGGACGGTGTGCAACGCAGCGTGGAGAGATGCATATTTTGAATCATATTGAGAGACTGAGAAACACGCGGGTTAGAGAACCAACGTAAGTGAGACTTCACTTTCACTGGAAAGAGCAGAGGGCTTGGTTGGCTGAGAGACAGCTCAGGGTGACAAGTGGGCTGCATGGGTGGCACGCAGTAGCTTGATGCTGGGTGTTAACAGGTTATTGTGAAAGGCAACTAAGGTGGAATTATGGTCGGAGAAAAACATGTTGGAGGTGTGGGGTGGTGGCTCGGGCAATAGAAGTTAGAAAACAGGCTAGGAACATATATCTTCTTGGTTCTTTCGGTAAAGTCACGTAGAATGGAAATAATAAAATAATAAAAATAAAACATAATAAAATAATTTTCACGACGTTTCGGCCACAATGCAAGCAGCCGTCCTCAGGTGAAGAACAGGTCTGTCGAGAAGACAGAGTCTGAATGACACACTCCAGGCTTGGAGAGACTATTTAAGCTGGGATGGAGGGGGGAAGGGCGCCTTGACAAAAGATTTTGCATATCAAGAGGAACGGTTAAAGTTATTTTGATTTCTTTAAATTTCGATAGATTTTCTAATTAGTCTTGGCCAGTAGTAGCTAGTTTTGCACAAAACTTCAAAATTGTTGGCACGTGTGTTCTGCTACTGCTGACAGTTGAAATTAGGGATAATTTAATATTTCTCTGATGTTCTTTTAGTCTCGTGCTAATCATTATTCCTGTTTGTCCAACATAACATTTACCACACGTGCAGTTAATCATGTAGACACCTGTTGTTAGCTTCTGTAATACAGTACATCTTTTGTACCATATATTAATGTCTGTATTTTATGTACCATGCCAAATATGACTCAGGTGTTTTGTTTTTCCAAACATCTGACTAGTTTATCAGTTTATCCCACAATGTACGGTATTTTGATAGTTTTAATTACTTGGGCAGTTTCAATGCTCTTGTTATTTGATTTGGTTTTGGTATTCAATGCCCTGTTGATTTGTGCATCATTGTAACCAGCGCTTCTTTAACATGTTGAATTTCAATTCTCAGACTGTCACCATCTGACACTTTCTTAGCTCGATGAATGAGTGTCTTGATAAGAGCAGATTTCTGTGCGGGGTGATGGTGTGACTGCATTCAGATAGGCGTCAGTATGCATTTTCTTTCGGTAAACACTGCGTGTTATCTGAAAGACCATCACCTTACCCTACATTGTTGGGGTCACAAAAAAGATCTCCAAAATCCTGATTAAACACAAGATCCAGGTCCGATTCAACACAGTACATAAAATCCGTGATCTGGTCCCGTCTGTAAAATATGTGGTTCCAGACATACAGTACCCTGGCGTCTACAAACTAAGTTTCCTCTGTGGTAGCAGTTACATTGGGGAAACCAAACGACATGTCTCGGACCGCATCCGTGAACATAAGGCAGACCTGAAACACGGTAGGACAAACACCTCAGCCGTGGCAGATCACTGTTACAATTCAGTGGGCTCACATGACATTGACTTCTCCAAGACAGAGGTTCTCTGCAAGCCATCTGGCTATCATGAGAGATTCGTTCATGAGGCGATCCACATATACAAACAGAGAGACAATTTCAACCGAGAAGATGGATTCTGGCTTAGCAATCATTGGAAGGACGTAATAAACCATTTCGGATCTTAACTGATTGTGTTCACGTTTACGGTGACTTTCAGACCGCGTTCCACTCACTGGCATGGTGCAGTGTGCAGAGTAATGTATGGTGTCGTAATTGTATAGTAAACATATAGCAGTGTGATACACATTAGGGTGGGTAGAATAATACATAGTGTTATATTAAAATGGATAAGGCAGCAACTGCAGCAGCAGCAAGTGCAGCAGCAGCAGCAAGTGCAGCAGCAGCAGCAACTGCAGCAGCAGCAGTAACTGCAGCAGCAGCAGAAACTGCAGCAGCAGCAGTAATTTCAGCAGCAGCAGTAACTGCAGCTCCCTTTGATGCTGTTAATCCTGCATAATGCACATGCATATGCAGGACTAATCACATTCCTGCATTTCCCATAAATATGCTAAATTCCTTTTGATATGCAAATTCCTTTGTCAATGCGCCCAGCTTATATATATGCTCCAAGCTCGTGTGCTGTTTCATTCAGACTCTGTCGCCTCGACGGACCTGGTTTTCACCTGAGGACGGCTGCTTGCGTTGTGGCCGAAACGTCGTGAGAATTGTTTTATTATGTTTTATTTTTATTATTTTATTACTTCCCTTCTACGTGACTTTACCGAAAGAACCAAGAAGATTAATCCCTGCAGTCACGAAAGCTTTAAATCGAGAAGTCACCTTGCCACAAGAAGTAAGTGTTCTTTAGACAGTGTTCAGCTAGTCTTTGGATATCTTTGGCTAAACCTCTGTTCGTTACCAGAGTGTCGAGTAATGTAATTGACTCGTTGACCGGAACACTCGTGAACAGAGAGGTCACATCAAAAGTTACCACAATATCATTAAGGTTAAGCTTAATATCTTTAATTATATTTACGAGATGTTGAGAGTTTTTGATGAACGAAGTGGTCCTACCGATGTGGGGCTGTATTTGTTTCGTTATGTATTGTGCTAATTTGTACGTGGCAGAGCCTACTGTACTTACTATGGGTCTTAATGGGACATCAGGTTTGTGAATTTTTGGTAGCCCATAAAGTCTTGGTGGTTTTGATGCCCTTGGTTTGATCAGATATTGCTCTTCCTTGGGAATTGATGACTTGGCAATGATTATACTCATTGTTTTTTTC